GTTTGTGTGTGTGTGTGTGTGTTTCTGTGTGTGTGTGTTTAGTAATGAGAGACAAAAACATCTCTGATTTCTAGGTTGTTGAATCAATTGTTTGTGCAACTGTAAAGCGTCCCAAATCATTCACTTATGAGATTGCTTATTTGCCGGTAGTTGACTATGTAGGGTGCAGGCAGTGAGGAAGCTCACTGTCTGCTGTATTTACTGCGCTCTGTGTTTCAGTGCGGTGGTCAGGGGAATCATTGTCACTGCTGTCACTGACATCAAACGTGTCACGTACGTGATTAGAAACACAACTCTGTTAACATGTGCGGGCCGATCGTATCTCCCTCAAAGTACATTGAAAGTTTATTTGTATTCAGGTAGGGCTGTGAATCACTGCTCCGTCTCATGAGAATCTCACACACACACACACACCTGAATGGCTTAAACAGAGCGGTACCATTTCCCGAGAAAGAAAATGCATATTTGGATGAAAACAGTTATTACTTTAAAGAAAACATTGTTACCCCTATTTCTGGCTGCTGGTTCATGTGTAGTGATTTATATAAATGATGCTGGGTCGTGATTAGCTCTCGGTGCCATTCATCACACAGAGACTCGGTTGAGCACCGAACACAAGCTCTCAAACATGTGCATGTCAATTCAATGAGGTTTGAGCGTTACTGTGGGAATATTTTCCTAAATACAGTCTGTTTCTCACATACAGCTACTATATGGCTTATGAAGACTTGGAATATAGTGCATATGAGTCCTTTGACAACAGTTATGATGCTTTAATGAGGAGCTTTTTTAAGCATGATGATTTCTGCTACTTTTGTTGAATTGAAAAGAAAAGCTCAGAAACTCTTCAGAATATGTTTTTTGTTGTTGTTGTTGTTTCTCAAAAGATTGAGTTGAATATTGTTTGAATTGTTGAATAGTTCAGTGAAGTATTCCTTTAACACGTTCAAACACTTTTGATTCTTCACAGTGACTCAGTTCTTCTGATTCTGTTCTAATTTTTTGAGTATTTTTTAGCACAGAATAACATCCAATACTTACTCTTGAATTATTTCCAGCAGCTTGTAAATAATGCTATTTTTAATGTGTGTATTTGTTCAGTATTGTATACAGTCACTATAAGCTCATCTAACTGATTATGTTAGTTTACAGCCCTTCTTTATGAAGTTGTGATGCTTTTAGCACTCATAATGGCATCTGCCCTGGTACTTCAGTACAAACTCATCATCATCACATACTGAATTTATTAAATAATTCATCAGGAGTGTGATCGAAACTGATGCAATGAAACCCATTCTTGCGATAGCAACAGCCAGATTGCACATGTTGCTAGTCATTAATGTGACTTCTTTAGTTAATTTGACTCAATTAGAACTGATTAATCTATGCTAATGAGCCTTTTTCAGATTTCATCGCCGAGGGCAGAGAGAATAATTGAACAGGCAGAGTCTCAGATGTAAGTCTGACAGGTTTTGAGCTTATATTTATTAAATTTGTACTTTGTTACATTATTTATAACATATCATATAATATCATATGTGTTTGACTCTGCTTTTTTTACTTATATATTCATATGCATGTGCATGATGTCCTCTCTTATAACTGTTCTTTACTTTGTTCGTAATTTGAAATAAGGACAATAATGGAACTAGTCTTTGATGTTGTTTGAATATTAATGAAGCTCTAGATAATGAAAGACCAGGGATGTGGGCTGCTTTTATAATGGACAACAGAGAAACACAACAGAAAATGGCTGGTTGCTATTGTTATTAGTGGTGCCTGATAAAGCGTCGTAAGCATTAGCGCTTGTGCAACTTATTTTCCTGCACCAATTGTGCAATTTTGCAGCTTGAAGTTGTGCTTTAGGTGATCAGACCATTTTCACCTGGCAAACCATAAAACAGGTGAAAGAAATCCAATATCTACAGACCAGAAGATCACAGAGATGAAGATGCAGGACTCTTTCATGTCAGACAGGAAGAAAGCATCTAGAGCACCTTGGCAACCGCATAGCAACGCCCTGGCAACAGCATCACGAAGGGATGTTTTGCATGGTTGAGCACCAATTTTTCTTAAGAAAATCTAGTTCAGAAAAGTACAATCGTTCAGATTCTCTGTGTGTGTGTGTGTGTGTGTGTGTGTGTGTGTGGATTTGTTGCATGAAAGACTGTCTCTTACAACTCATGATGGTCATGCTCTTATTTAAATGATATAACTCCATTGTTATGAACAATATGTAATTCAGAAGGCACAAGGTTGCAGCACTATGCCTTGTGTGTGTGTGTGTGTGTGTGTGTGTGTGAACTCTCCTCTGCTCAGCTCATAGACTGTGAAGATATTAGGAACATTAAGGTTTGTGGTCCTTCACAAGACACTATCACCCATCATAAAGTCCAGAAGACACACATCAGCACTTTGAAACCACTCATAATATAAAGTATTTCCACTAGTAAAAACACAGTCAGCCACTAACAAAAAAGTAGGCTACTTAAGGACACAGTATCTTTTTTCAATAATGATTTATAATTTATATAATATATAATGTGTATGTAAACAAGTTACATTTTAAACTTTATTTTTTAAAATTAAAATATGATATAAATGTATTATTTATTATATTCTATATTTTATTTATTATATTTGTTATACTATTATATGAATTATTATATATATACATTTTTGATTCAATCTATGTTCTTTTTTATATTATGTTGTTTATATAATTAAAAAGTAATATTTTTAAACTTAATTATTTGTATTAATTTTATTTGAATTTATATTATTTTTCATGTTTTTAGTAATATTTATTATATTATATTTATTATTTTTGTTCCTTTTTTAAGTTTATTTTTTTCTGACACAAAAACAATGGGAATTGACTGTTAGATTATGTAGCTTATATAATTAACAAAGTAACATTTAAACCTTATTATTTGTAATATTTGTTTATTAAAATGTATAATATTGTTAAAAGCTGTATATTAATATTTACTGTATTATATTTTGTTATAATTAGAATATTTATTATAGTATATTATTTTTTGTTACATTTTTTAAATTAATTGAATTGTGGTATTTGTCTGCCTTAAAGGGGTCATATGATGCGATTTCAAGTTTTCCTTTCTCTTTCGAGGATTGACCATTAGATGTGATCGTCTCTGTTTTCTCGGTTGTAAGTCATGCTGCTCCTTTGCTTGTTGGAAACGTTATTAGTTGGAATTTATTAGTCTGCAAGTTGTCAACTTGAGATGTCAACTGAATAGCTGCACTATACTGTATAAATGTGGTTAAAAATGTAGTTAAAACTTAGTAGCGCCATACCGCCCAAACTCTGAATGACACATGCAGTAATGGCAAAAATACTCTTTTGCGTGTGGAAACATCAGCCTGAAGCTGTAGCGCTTGTTTGAAGACACAAACACACACATCTGAGCGCTGCGTTCACTAAATGAAGATTTGGAGATGTTTATTTCCTCAGATATTTCTGGCCTCCAGCGACCCTGGATTGATTTTTGACAGTGATTATCTAACGTTTCTGGCACAGCTGATCTCTGCTGTGGCTCCTCATTCGAGTCGTAAATGAATCATCAAAGTTCATCACAAGGACTCTGATCACTGGCACCGGATCATTCATGCAGCTACATTTAGTGCATAGATTCACGGTCCTTTGCATTTAGTTTAACGCTCACTGGACTCCCACTGGCTCTAACTTTAACACTCAATGTCTAAATGTGAACTTTCCTTTTGTGTCTCTCGTATGTCACATGGATAACTTTTATGGTGCTTTTTGGAGCTTGAAAGTGTAAATCAGAAGCTCGGGTTCCTTTAAT